GCTCCCGTTGATAAGTTTTTAAAAATGTACTTAGAGTAGTTAAATGGCTCACAAGTCTTTCCCAAGAGCTCATTAAGTAATGGAAATATTTCCTTTCTAGAATAAAATGCCAACTGAGTGCAGTGGTTCTTTTAATAAGCCACTTTCTTCAAAACCAAATGTGCAGAAAATAGTGCTTATAATGATAGCCTATTTATAAAATGCTTAAAAATATATGAAACTTTTCTTGCCATATTGAAGCCAGTCTTTGTTTTGATGTGAATTTTTCATTTGAATTCTGGTCTCTAGGGCTATTTTCCTTCCTTCCTTCCTTCCTTCCTTCCTTCCTTCCTTCCTTCCTTCCTTCCTTCCGTCCTTCAACACCTTGTTCAATCATCCATACCATATCTTGAATCTTCAATCTCTCCTTATCTATTAGCACCTTTCTCCTTGGCACATATACAAGGTCAGGTCTTATCCTAAAAAGAAAATCCTTCCTGGCTCCCATCCTATCTCTTTTTCCTCTTCTCAGCAAATCTTCTCAAAGAGAAGTTATTCTCTTTGTCTGTACTTCTCCCTTCCTCTCTCCTTCCCTCCCTCCTTTTCTTTTTGCTTTAAAATATTTTATTGGAATCCTTTTGATAAAACCAGATACTTATAAAAGATAAGCAACTATAAGAAGTGAAATATGTCTCCTTGATATGTAAGTGCCCCCAGATTTCTAGGCAATTTTTTCCCCAATAAATTGACAGCTGCTCAATATATTGAGTTCACAAAACAATAAGTATTACAGTAAATTGACAGATGCTTAATATAGGAAAGATGTAAGTTCCTAGGATCTGCCCATCACCAGATAGAGGACATCGCTTTGTATCAGCAAAATCCATAGCCACCAGGGAGAAAGGGCTTGCTTTTTACTTGTCACAGCCTGAAGATGAAGTAGCAGGAGCCATTATATAACCATAGGCCTTTAGTCATCAGGTTAGTGCAGAATCTTTGTGAAGGGGCACTGCCCCTGGCTGGGCTTCCAGAGCTCTTTATTCAAAAATAACGTGATGATGGATGCCTTAAAACTCCATCATGATGCTGCAAACCTGCTGGTGCGTATCAGGGACCTGTAGGTTGGCAGCTGTGCAAAGATGGTGCAGGACGCTGGGCCTGTCACTTCCCTCTTGCTCAGCAGCATGCTCTGGAGCAGCTGCCCAAGTCCCCATACCAACTGCCAGTGAGCCTATTGCCCAGAACAGCTAGGGCTGTTTCTTATGGAAAATCTAGATCTTTCTTTCTACTCTAACTACGTAGTACAATTCTTAAAATACCAGCATTTAAGCAAATTTCAATTACTTTTTGTAATGTTGATTTTTTTTTTCCTCCTGATTACAAAAAAGTGATCCTATTTATTTGTGGAAATCTTGGAATGTGTATGGTAAGAAAAACAGAGAGGATATATAGTGATGTGCAAATAGTGGCCTACTCTGAACACTGAAATTACAGGTGATTTAAATTTCCTTTTTAGTATTCTGTGTTCCAGTTTGTCTTAAAGAGAGTAAATTGAACCATGTTGTATAATCCCTGCCTTTAATTCCTTAAAATCCATAATCTAGAAAATCCTGTGTCATTTCATAGACATATTTGCAATTTTACTCTGAGTCTATCTACTCATGTCTGTCTTCTCTTGATGAAAAATTCAAAGTTTATATTGTTTTTATAAAAGAGTAAAACCTATCCTGTCACTTTTATTTTTTGGTTTCTTTGTGTCTACCATTTATCGAGTACTTATCATAAGCCAGATACTGTGTTGAATGCTTTCCTTGTATCTTCTCAAATAATCTTCATAACAATTCTGAACAGCAGCTATTACCACCACTTTGCACATGGGATAATTGAGGCTTAGAAGTTAAGTGATTTGTCCAAGGTCACCGAGTTATTAACATAACCAGGACTAGAACTCAGATTTTTCATGTTAAGCCTGGGCTCAACCACTGTATTAAAGAGCTTCCCCTCCACATCCCCTAGGACTATTCAAGCTTTCTAAACCATCCCTACCATTTCTTCTTGAGAACTAGTTTTTCCTTTTAAGAGCTTTTCCTCTAAGTTTGACATCTCTTCATTCACTGCTTTTGCTTTACTGCCTTTTGGGCCCTGAATTCTCCATGGTGATTATGACCAGAGAGTATGCATGGCTTGGGGAGCAGAACCCCACTCCTAGACTGCACTGCCCTGGGCTGGGGGGCTCCCCTTTGGCAATTGCTCTCTTATTCCCTAGCCACTCATGTTAAGTCTTCCCAACATGCTGAGTTGGGGTGCAGGGAGAGGAAAATGGATCTGGGCTGTGCCTGAAGGGCAGGACTCTGAAGGTGCCCTAACAGTCACATGGAAATTTGAGACATCCTGCTGGCTTCCTTCATCACTGGATAGGAATTTTTTTTTCCTTTCTTTTTTTACTAAAACATAGTTGATTATACATATTTGTGGAGTACAGAGTTGACTATCAATACTTGTGTATAATATATGATGATCAAATCAGGATAATGAGCATATTCATCATTATAAACCGTAATCATTCGTTGTGTCTATTAACTAATTTCTCACTAATTCCCCTTCCCTTTTCCCACCTGTAGTAACCATAGTTCTGTTCTGTCCTTCTGAAAGTTCATTGTGTTATTGTGATTGTTGCTTGTTTCTTTCATATTGTTCATTTTTTAGCTCCCACTTCTGAGTGAGGACATACGGTATTTCAATAGTTCTGTTCTGTCCTTCTGAAAGTTCGTTGTGTTATTGTGATTGTTGTTTGTTTCTTTCATATTGTTCATTTTTTAGCTCCCACTTCTGAGTGAGGACATACGGTATTTCTCTTTCTGTGCCTGGCTTATTTCACTTCACATAATTTTCTCTAGGTTCATCCATGTTGCTGCAAATGGCAGAATTTCATTCTTTTTAATGGTAGGGTAGTATTGCATTGTGTATATATACCACATTTTCATTATCCAATTGTCTGTTGATGGACATTTAGGATGGTTGATTCTTGACTATTGTAAGTAGAGCTTTGATAAACATGGAAGTGCAGGTATCACTTTGACATGATGATTTCCATTCCTTTGCTAATATACCCAGCAGTGGGATTTCTGCATCTTATGGCAGTTCTATCTGTAGTTGTTTGAGAAACCTCTATAGTATTTTCCATAATGGCTACACTAATTTACAGTCCCACCAATAGTATAGGAAGGTTCCCCTTTCTCTGCATCTTTGCCAGCATTTGTATTCTGTGTTTTTGATAATGGCAAATTTAACTGGGGTGAGATGATATATCAGTGTGGTTGTGATTTGCATTTTCCTGATGCTTAGTGATGTTCAACATTTTTTCATGTGTCCATTGGCCATTTGTATATCTTCCTTTGAGAAATGCTTATTATTTAGCTCCTTTGCCCATTTTTTAATTGGGGTGCTTGTTATTTTACCAAGTTATTTGAGTTCCTTGTATATTCTGGATATTAATCCCTTGTCAGATGCATAGCTTGCATATATTTTCTTCCATTCTGTAAGTTGTCTTTTCAGTCTGTTAATTGTTTCTTTGTTCAAAAGCTTTTTAGTTTCATATAATCCCATTTGATTATTTTTTCTTTTGTTGCTTGTGCTTTTGGAGTCTTAAAAAATATTTACCCAGTACTACTTCCTGAAGTGTTTCCCTGTGTTTTCTTTTAGGAGTTTTTTTTATAATTTTCAGGTCTTATATTTAAGTTTAATCCATTTTGTGTTGATTTTGGTATATGGAGGGAGATATGGGTCTAGTTTCATTCTTCTACATATGGATGTCCGGTTTCCCAGCACCATTTATTGAAGACGCAGTCTTTTCCCTAATGTATGTTCTTGGTGCCTTTGTCAAATATCTTTTGGCCATAAGTATGTGGATTGGTTTCTGGGTTCTCTATTCAGTACCATGCTGTTTGGGTTAGTATAGCTTTGTAGTATAATGTGAAGTCAGGTATTGTTCTAGTGTTCTTCTGGCTTTGTTTTTTTTTGCTCAGGATTGCTTTGGCTATTTGGGGTCTTTTGTCATTCCGTATGATTGTTAGGATTGTTTTCTATTTTTGTGAAGAATGTCATCGGTATTTTGATGAAGATTGCATTGAATCTGTAGATAACTTTGGGTAGTATGGACATTTTCACAATTTTAATTCTTCCAGTCCTAGAGTATGTAATGTCTTTCATCTTTTTGTGTGCTTTTAAAATTTCTTTGAGCAGTGATTTGTAGTTCTCATTGTAGAGATCTTTCACCTCTTTGGTTAAATTAATTTCTAGGTATTTTATTTTTTTGGTGACTATTGTAAATGGGCCTTGCTTTCTTGATTTCTTTTTCTGCTACTTTGTTACACTACTGATTTTTCTGTGTTCATTTTGTATCTTGCAACTTACTGAAATTGTTTTATTTGAAAATTGTTTCAAATTGAAAAGCTCTAGAAGTATTTTTTAGAGTCTTTTGATTTTTCTATATATAGGAGCACATCATCTGCAAACAGGGACAGTTTGACTTCATCTTTTCCAATTTGGATAGCCTTTATTTCTTTCTCTTCTCTGATTGCTGTGACTAGTATTTCCAATACTGTGTTAAATAAGAGTGGTGAGAGTGGGCATCCTTATCTTGTTCCTGTTCTTAAGGAAAAGTGTGTAGGAATTTTTATAATTGTTTTATTTAATATGATGCTAATAATCTTTAGGTTTAGTAATTAAATACTGAATTACTAATAAATTTTATTTATTTTAAAAATAAATTTTAAGTAAATAAATCCTACTACATTGGAGAAGGATAGAGGGGTAAAATTTTTTCTTCCAGAACCACTTTCCCTTTTTAAAAATTATACCCTTACGTAATAAAATCAAATATTATATAAAAGCTAAATGTGATAAGTATAAAATTAGAAAGTACAAGGTAGGATTTAGAATTCTAGTGAATACACCTAGAATAGTTCACTCCCTGGGGTTCCTAGCCCGATAAATTTGAACTTTATCTTCACCTTGAAGCTTTTCAGAGTCCTCATCCCCCACTTTTGTGCCTTATTTTACCCTGTTTACCTGCAACACTTAATGGTACTTGTTTCCTTCTGTGTTCTCTCTTGCACTCCCACTCTCCAGCTCTGCCGCTTTGAAGGAAGCGCTGTGCCTTACTCATCTTAGTGTCCCTGGGACCTAACACAATTTCTGGCATTATTATAATGGGTGCCCTTTAAAATGTTTGTTGAATGAGTAAATGGACATTGGCAACCAGCTAAGATTGGGATCATTGATCATCGAGCTAATCTAGCAAATGAGGATATGTTTTACATCTTTCAAATACTCTTTTCCCTCATTTAGTAAACATGCATTTCCTTTTTGCAAGTAGCTGCTGTCACTGCAATGAGAAAATGCATACTAACTGATTAAAACCACTGTTTTTTTTCAAAAATGATTAACAAATATTAACTTATGCATCAAGCTTGAGAAATCATGTATTTTGTCTCCTAGTATACACATGAGCACTCACATTGCCATCCTCTATTTGTTGTTCTTTAGGTGGCATGATATTGCTAACATGTCCCACAACAAGTCTTTTTTTGCATTAGAGCTGGCAAATAAAGAGGAGACCATCCAGTTTCAAACTGTGAGTAAACATTAGAATCCACATGGAATGTTTTTCCTAAAAGTTAAGTTAGCATTTCCATGTACCTGTGTGTGTGTTCGGTGGTGGTGGTGGTGGTGGGGGCCTTAAAATGATTATATTTCATAATTTTATAAAACGTTGCAGAGTTTTATAACGTTTTGCAAAATGGCACTTGGCAGAAAGAGGTTGCTCAGTACTGTTGAATGAATGAGTCTTTGGATAAGTACTATGATTATGATGACCTTTAAATTAAACTTAAGGGACTAAGTGGGGAGAAAGAGGCACTGATACCTTAATTCCATTGATAAAAGGCTAGCTCTGCAGAATTATTTAACAGTTATTTGCTTTTGCTGTCTTGACAAAGGCAATATTGAATCACTGAGTCATGTTCTGTTTAAAAATGTCTTTGAGTATATTTGTCAAGAATAAAAGTTGTTATTTTTATAATTTTTAAATTTCTATGTCATTTAGAAATTATTTAATATCACAGTTATACTGCTGGGAGAGATTTTGTTTTGTGTTCATAATTTAAATCCTACTTGTGGTTTCATATGATAGCCACAGTATTAGCAAATGAACAAATTACAGTGTGCCGAAAGTGACTTTGACATAAAATGTCACCCAATTACGTCTTGTTCTCAAATTTGGCATTAATAGTTATCGAGTTGTATGTGTGCTTTCATATTACTTTATGCATATTTTGTTTGCTAGGAAGACATGGAAACAGCAAAATATGTATGGAGACTCTGTGTTGCACGACACAAATTTTACAGACTAAACCAGTGTAACTTGTAAGTATATTCCTTTTTTTTTTNATGCTAATAATCTTTAGGTTTAGTAATTAAATACTGAATTACTAATAAATTTTATTTATTTATTTATTTTTTTTTAATTTTTTTTTATTATTTTTTTTTTTTTTTGTCTTTTGTCTTTTTTTCCGTGTCCGGCAACGGATCGCAACCCCCAGTGTTGCCCTAAATTTTATTTATTTTAAAAATAAATTTTAAGTAAATAAATCCTACTACATTGGAGAAGGATAGAGGGGTAAAATTTTTTCTTCCAGAACCACTTTCCCTTTTTAAAAATTATACCCTTACGTAATAAAATCAAATATTATATAAAAGCTAAATGTGATAAGTATAAAATTAGAAAGTACAAGGTAGGATTTAGAATTCTAGTGAATACACCTAGAATAGTTCACTCCCTGGGGTTCCTAGCCCGATAAATTTGAACTTTATCTTCACCTTGAAGCTTTTCAGAGTCCTCATCCCCCACTTTTGTGCCTTATTTTACCCTGTTTACCTGCAACACTTAATGGTACTTGTTTCCTTCTGTGTTCTCTCTTGCACTCCCACTCTCCAGCTCTGCCGCTTTGAAGGAAGCGCTGTGCCTTACTCATCTTAGTGTCCCTGGGACCTAACACAATTTCTGGCATTATTATAATGGGTGCCCTTTAAAATGTTTGTTGAATGAGTAAATGGACATTGGCAACCAGCTAAGATTGGGATCATTGATCATCGAGCTAATCTAGCAAATGAGGATATGTTTTACATCTTTCAAATACTCTTTTCCCTCATTTAGTAAACATGCATTTCCTTTTTGCAAGTAGCTGCTGTCACTGCAATGAGAAAATGCATACTAACTGATTAAAACCACTGTTTTTTTTCAAAAATGATTAACAAATATTAACTTATGCATCAAGCTTGAGAAATCATGTATTTTGTCTCCTAGTATACACATGAGCACTCACATTGCCATCCTCTATTTGTTGTTCTTTAGGTGGCATGATATTGCTAACATGTCCCACAACAAGTCTTTTTTTGCATTAGAGCTGGCAAATAAAGAGGAGACCATCCAGTTTCAAACTGTGAGTAAACATTAGAATCCACATGGAATGTTTTTCCTAAAAGTTAAGTTAGCATTTCCATGTACCTGTGTGTGTGTTCGGTGGTGGTGGTGGTGGTGGGGGCCTTAAAATGATTATATTTCATAATTTTATAAAACGTTGCAGAGTTTTATAACGTTTTGCAAAATGGCACTTGGCAGAAAGAGGTTGCTCAGTACTGTTGAATGAATGAGTCTTTGGATAAGTACTATGATTATGATGACCTTTAAATTAAACTTAAGGGACTAAGTGGGGAGAAAGAGGCACTGATACCTTAATTCCATTGATAAAAGGCTAGCTCTGCAGAATTATTTAACAGTTATTTGCTTTTGCTGTCTTGACAAAGGCAATATTGAATCACTGAGTCATGTTCTGTTTAAAAATGTCTTTGAGTATATTTGTCAAGAATAAAAGTTGTTATTTTTATAATTTTTAAATTTCTATGTCATTTAGAAATTATTTAATATCACAGTTATACTGCTGGGAGAGATTTTGTTTTGTGTTCATAATTTAAATCCTACTTGTGGTTTCATATGATAGCCACAGTATTAGCAAATGAACAAATTACAGTGTGCCGAAAGTGACTTTGACATAAAATGTCACCCAATTACGTCTTGTTCTCAAATTTGGCATTAATAGTTATCGAGTTGTATGTGTGCTTTCATATTACTTTATGCATATTTTGTTTGCTAGGAAGACATGGAAACAGCAAAATATGTATGGAGACTCTGTGTTGCACGACACAAATTTTACAGACTAAACCAGTGTAACTTGTAAGTATATTCCTTTTTTTTTAAAAGATGACCGGTAAGGGGATCTTAACCCTTGACTTGGTGTTGTCAGCACCACGCTCAGCCAGCGAGCTAACCGGCCATCCCTATATGGGATCTGAACCCAGGGCCTTGGTGCCATCCGCACCGCACTCTCCCAAGTGAGCCACGGGCCGGCCCGTAAGTATATTCCTGATCATGGAAATTGTAGAAAATAATTTAGACGTTGAGATATCACCTTACTCCAGTTAGACTGGCTATAATCAAAAAGACAGAGAGTAACAAATGCCGGCGAGGGTGTGGAGAAAAGGGAATGCTCCTACACTGTTGGTGAGGCTGTAAATTAGTACAACCACTATGGAAAACAGTATGGAGGTTTCTCAGACAACTACAGATTGATCTTCCAAATGATCCAGCAATCCCACTTCTGGGTATATAACCAAAGGAATGGAAATCATCATGTCGAAGGGATACCTGCAGTCCCATGTTCATCACAGCTCTGTTTGCAATAGCCAAGATATGGAACCAACCTAAATGTCCACCAGTGGACGAATGGATAAGGAAAATGTGGTATATATACACCATGGAATACTACTCTGACATAAAAAAGAATGAAATACTCCTATTTGCAACTACATGGATGAGCCTGGAGAAACTTACATTGAGTGAAATAAGCAAAGCACAGAGGGCTAAATACCGCATGTTCTCACTTGTAAGTGGGAACTAAGAGAGAAAGTACGAAGGAAAGACTACAGTGGTGTGTTGGACATACAGAGGGAGAGAGCACACCTAGGGATACAAAGTGGAGTAGGGGAAGAGGGGGATGGGGAGGGAGGTTGGGGATAATTGGGTGGGGACACGGGGTATAATCGCAATTTGTAGTAATGGGCATGCTGGCAGTATGGATCTGGCCATCACATCTTGGGCATGAGTGGTGACAATCAGCTTTGTATCTCATGAATATTCATAACCAATAAAAAAAAGTACTAAGAAAATTAAAAAAAAAATTTAGAAATTTTAATCTTGAGCTTTATTATATCATCTAACAAGACAAATTTTATCAATAAAATAAATATCTGATAGATTTTTTGACACTTATAATCTCTTTGTTTTTGTTGCACATTAAAATGACATTTAGAATTTTTTTCTCATTTTAGCTTTAGACCAACTTCTAATAACTATGGATATGACTCTGTGGATATACCTCTAAGATTTCTTGTAACTAGTTACTGAAACCATTCTAATTCTTGGATGTTAAATAGAGAATATTCTTTATTTTTTTAAAATCCGTGTCCTGGTCAGCATTTTGAATAATTAAAGACGATTCAACTTTTCAAGCCCTTTGAGGAATTTATGCTGCTGCTTCTAATGGACATTTTTAGTGGCCCTCGTGGACCTCCCGCTCTGTGCTGGATGATTCCCGGCAGCATTCACACACACTGTGATATTTCACACGTTAAGCCCTTGTCTGTCACTCCCCTATAGCCTCGGCACCCTCTCTCTGCTTTCCTTTATTGCAGATTTCTTCAAAAGAGTTGTATATACTTGCTTTCTCTCCCTCGTTCCACCCTGGCTCCCCTAAGACACCACACCACTGACACTGCTTGTCATTTCAGGAGCTGGTTCACTCGACTGCTCCAAAGCACCATACCTCTTATTGTTCCTTCCTTTCTTGGCTGCCAGAACACCACACCCTCCCGGGTTAACTTCTAGGCTGTTTCTTCTCAGTCCCCTTTGCTGGGTTATTCCTGAGACCCCTTCTCCATCTATACTCCTTCTCTGGGGGATTTCACTTGCCTCAGGCTTTTATGCTGATTTTATTTCTAGTCCCATCTTCTCCCTGACCTCGCGATTCCTGCATCCTACAGCCTTCCTGACATCTCCATTTGGGTACTTAAGAGGTATCTCGATTTTGATATGTCTGAATCAGATCTCTTGATCTCCTCCTCTTCCTCCCCACAAATCTGCTTCTTCCCTGCTCTTCCCATGTTGACAGGTGGCAGCATAACTTATTCACCCAGTTGCTCTGGTCCTAAACCTAGAAGTCTTATGTCATTCCTGTTTCTCTTCCATACCACATTCATCAGCAAGCTCTGCCAGCCCTACCTTCAAAGTAGATCTGAAATCTGGCCATTTTTACTACCCTTCCTTCTAAACAACTTAGTGTCAGCCACCATAGTTTCTTTCTGGAATATTTCAGTAGCCTTCTGACTCCCTGTTTCTGTTTGTCTGCCTGTAGCTTATTTTCTATACATCAGCCAGAATGATCATAGTTTGATATGAGTCGGATCCTATCACTTTTCTTAAAACCCTCCTTTGGCATTCAATCTTACTTATAACAAAAGTATATGGCTGTGCGTGATGCTGTCGTTGCCTGTTCAAACCTTGTTTCCTTTATCCTCCTTCTTGCTTCCTCTGTTCCAGCCACACTAGTGTCCCTGTGCAGCTGTGAACATGTTCCACCCTTGGGGACACTGTGCTTGCTCCTTCCTCTGCCTGAAATGCTCCTTTCCCATGTCTTCACAACGTACCTTGCTCCCATGTTGCAATAAGTTGTCTGATCAGATGTGCCCCTCTTCAGAGGCTGTCACCTCTCATCTACTACTACCTGTGTCTCTTTATTCTCTTACCCTGTTTTTCTTCTTCATAGCACTTAGCACCACCAGAATATGTATGCTTGATTACTTGCATATCGTGTGCATCTCTACCAGCAGGTGAGCTCTGCAGCAATGGACGAGGACGTACACTCTCCTTGTCTTGACTGCTGCTGTATTCCCAATGCCAAGCAAGTGCCTGGCTCAGGGTAGGCCTCAATGATGTTGTTGAGTGAATCTACAGAAATAAGTGTTAAGAGCTCTGATTTGGGATGTCTGTGATGCTGTAGGATCCCTCACCCAGCACTGCCAAGTTAGGAAAGGCTTCCCAGCCAAATGACATCTAAACTGAGCCCTGAAAGGTTTTGCACAATCCTCACATTCTTTAAGCTGTCCTCTCTCCCCTGGACCATTGCAGCTACCTCCTTTCTGGCCTCCTCTGTCTCCACTCAGTCTTCTGGGTGGATGAGCAAAAGATGTGGCACTGTTCTGTGTGTTATATGTCAGGACCACACCTGAGCATGTTTCTGTCTTCCACTCCT